CCAGGGAATGGACGCTAGAACATGAATTCTTTTTAGAACACCTATTTATATGCATGTTCTGAAATAACTTACTGTTCACATTGGATCCTCTCAGTTTAATCTTTCCATTTTTCCAGAAAGAACAGCCTCTGAAGTAAGCATTTTGAAGCAAGCCAACATTCTATGAACCCACTTGCTTTTTTAAAAGAAATTTATTCACTGTTGCACATTTTCTCCCCTCTACCCACACCCTTCCCAGCAGACCCCACAATACACTGCTGCTTCTTCTAGATTATTCTCATACATATAATGCTTAATCATATAGCCCTTTCAAAAAGTTCTTCTCGTCTATTCTAATGCAGTGTTCATTATCTATCCACTCTTCCCTCAGTCCCTCTCCAACTCCTCCATGTCTGTCCTATTTTTTTTTGTCCTATTTTATAAATCATGTTTCACAGTATTTATCCTTTTTTGACTAGATATTTTCACTTAGCATAATGTCCTCAAAGATCTCCTATGTTGTGTAATGGTTTACTATTTCATTGTTTTTCAATATTGTGTAGTATTCCATTGTGTGAATGTACCATAGTTTTTCTATCTATTAGTTTATTGATGGACACTTGGGTTGCTTCCATCTCTTTGCTATTGTGAATCACAAAGCAATAAACATGGATGTGCATACATCTGTTTGAGTTGTGGCTCTCATTTCTTTAGGGTATACTCCCAATAGTGGAATTGCTGGGTCAGGTGTTATTTCTATTTCCAACTTCCTGAGAAAGTGCTAGACCACCTTCTCTAGTGGCTGTACCATTTTACATTTCCATCAACAGTGAAGAAGAGTTCCAATCTCTCCACACCCTCTGCAGTGTTTGCATCTGTTGCTTGTTGCTGTGTTGAACTTTGCTATTGTTGCTGGGGCACTTTTTTTCTTTCAAAAATTTTTTTGTATTTGAAAGAAAGTTTACCAATGATATTAGTTTTTCATTCATATATTTTGTTTTATGTTGTAATTTCAATGTCATTTGGTATTTATGTATATTTTTATAATATTGATTACAGTTGTTGTTAGGTGCCATCAAGTCAAATACAACTCATAGTGACCCTGTGAACAAAAGATCTGAACCCTGTTCTCTCCTGTGCCATCGTCACACTTCCTGACACACAGGAGTCCATTGCAACAGTTACTGTATCCACCCACCTGGTCAAGGGTCTTCCTTTTCTTCACTGACCATCCACTCTTCCTATCATCATGTCTCTCTCCAAGGAATATCCCCTCCTAGCAACATGCCAAAAGTATATGAGGCAAAGCCTTATCATTCTTGCCTCCAATTAGCACTGTGGCTGCACCCTCTCCAAGACATATTTGATTGTTCTTTTGGCTGTTCATGGGATGTTTGATGTTCTTCTCCAACACCACAGCTCAAAGGCATCAGTTCTTCTGTCATCCATATTCACTGTCCACCTCTCAGATGCATAGCAAGTGACCAGAAAAACACAGTGATTCAGAAAGCCTGAATCAGACACACCTTAGTCCTCAAACTGAGATCATTAGGCCATAATGGTTTGGAGAGGTCCCTAACTGCAGATTTCCCTAGTGCAGTATGTTTCCTGATCTCCATTAGTGAGATGAGATGGACTACCATTGGCCACTTTGAATCAGATAATCATATAGCTTATTATGCTGGAAATTAAAAACAGAAGAAGAATGGTATTGCATTCATAGTAAAAACGTCAATTTCAAGTTCTATCCTGAAATACAGTGTTATGAGTGAGAGGATAATATTCATATGCATACAGGAATACCCGTTAACATGACTATTATTCAAATATGTGCTCCTACATCTGGAGCCAAGAGGAAGAAATTGAGAAATTTTACCAAATCTTGCACTCCGAAATTGATTGAACTTGCAATCAAGATGTGTTCATGATAATTGGTGACTGGAATGCAAAAGTGAGAAACAAAGAAAAATAAATGGTAGTTGGAAAATAAGGGCTTGATAATAGGAATGATGCTGGAAATAAAATGATTGAATTTTGTATTTACAATGATTTATTCATTGCAGATACCTTTTTAAAAATACACAAATGATGACTTTACACATAGATCTCACTTGATGGGCTGCATAGGAATCAGACTGACTAAATTTGTGAAAGAAATTGTTGGAAGGTCACTGTCAGCACTCAAAACTAGGCCACGAGCAGACTGTGGGTCCAATCATCAATTACTCATATGCAAGTTCACAATGAGGCCTAAGATACTGATTACAGTAGAGTAATATAATGCTTTGCCAATATATTGTATATTGCCTTTGCCTTCACCTGATTTTGTCTACATATTAACTTTTATCCCTTTCACTCTCCCTTCCAATTTCTAGAAACCATTAAAAATTAATGATATGTAAAATTTCCCTTAGCTTTTTACAATAGTGATCTTATGAGACTACTATTATTATTAGAAGCAGGAGTGGCATCACTTCCTAAATAACATGCCTCCAGAAACTCTATGAACTTTGATAAATGTTGATAGTTGTAGAGGGGCTTCAGGCCTTTTGTTCATAGGGTCGCTATGAGTCATGCTTGACTTGAAGGCAGTCAACAACAACAACTACTACTATTATAATCCTTTTGTAACTGACTTCTTTGCTTAGTATCAGTTCTGTGGATCATTCTGCACTTCTTTTTGTGGAACAAACTTTCTCTAAATCTCAACTACAGTTGTAATCTGATGCTTCATCGTATGATTCTAATTTAAGAATTCTTGTGGTACTGAGGGTTAAGCATTGGACTGCTGACCAAATGGTTGGTAGTTTTAATACACCAGCCCTTACTGGGAGAGCGATGAGGCAGTGTACTTCCATGAAGATTCACAGCCTCAGAAACACTATGGGGCTCTGCTCTGTCTTACAGGTTCTGTGTGAGTTGGAATCAACTCATCAGCAGTGGCTTTGGATTATAATTTAACTTACCTCTCCTATTATGAGGAGGAAAAAAATGGTACACTAAACAGGAAAGTATTTCTAAGATGCAAGTGTGAAACCATTGTATGCAACTCATAGCAACCCTGCTCATATACAAGTGATTTCTGGTGGCCTAAGAGTAAGGAATTACCATTTGGTAAATTAATTACCAACCCAAAGGCTCACAGTTCAAATCCCTAGCTGCTCTTTGGAAGGAAGAAGGGCCTTCTCTCATGGAATTAATTGCCTCTGAAAACTCACTGGAGGATCTGATATCCATGATACACAACAGCAGGAACCACCCATATCCAGCCAATTGATACTGTGTTAACACCACACCATCCCCACAAGCTCTGCTGTGCTTACACCTACTGTTCTAGACACTGTCAAATCACCAGATTGAGGATCTGCCTCTCTTTTGATAACCCTCCACTTTTCCAGGCATGAAGTATTTTTCTAGGGACTAGCCCTCCTACTATTGTTATGAGCCTTTAGTGGGTTTTCAGAGGCAGTAAATATCCTGGGAGATTGCTCATCTTTCTCCTGAAGAGCAGCTGATGGACTCAAACCATGTACCTTTGAGTAGGCAACGCAGCTCCTTACCACTAGGCCACTAGAGCTCCTTATCCCTCCTGATAGCACACCCAAAGTATGTAAGATGGACACTCACAATCCTTGCTTTTAGAGCACTCTGGCTTCGTTTCCTTCAGGACAGATTTATTTGTTCTGTTGGCAGTCCATGGAATATTCAATATTCTTCACCAAACCACAATTAATGGCATAAATTATTCTTCATTCTTTCTTATTCATTGTTCAAGTTTTTCATGCATATGAATCAATTGAAAGCACCATGGCTTGAGCCAAGCAGCTTTTGTCTTTAAAGTGGCATCATCTTTAGTACTTTAATGATAGCAGGTTTGTTCAACACATTATTCTTTTTTTTTAAAAAATATTTGTTTTCCCTTTTATTTAAAGGAAAGTGTTGTTTAAAGGAAACAATCCTGTTAAACCCTTGAACAAATTAGTATTAGTTGTTTTAAAATTTTGCCTAATAATGTAATTATCATTTCCGGTGTGTTTCTAATGACTGACTAAAAGTCATGTGCCATGATTTTGTCCTTTTCTTTTTTCAAAAAAACCCATTTATTTATTTATTTTATTTCTTTCAATTCACATGATGAAATACTACACAGATTGCAGAAGCAATGATTTTGCAAATCACTGCCTAACTTGGGAGGAACTTGACAGTATTATGCTAAGTCAAATAACTCAGTTCTATAAGGACAAATACTGTTAGGATCATTATTGTAGAAAGAGATAACTAGTAAAACATGTGTGAGGATAGTGTAAGGGGGAGGGGAGCAGAGGGTTGGGATGGGTGGGAGGGGTATAATCATGGGGTCACAATTTGGTGGGTGGACTGGAGGTGGGTTGGCAAGATAGGAGGATCCAGTGTGAGGGGCAATATATATGAATACTGTACAGTGTAAAATTTTTAAAAATCATTCTTGACTGCTGTTTGTTGGTGTTTTTGTTTGTTTGTAGGGTTTTTCTGCTGTTGTTGTTGTTGTGTGCCTTCAAGTTGGATCTAACTGACTGCCACAGGAGGAGATTGCCCATCCTTCTCCAGCGGAGCATCTGGTGGATTCAAACTATGAAACTTTGGGATTGCAGCGCAGCTTCTTGCCACTAGACCACCTAAGCTCCCTGACTGCTGTTGTTGATTGTGAATCCAAGTAAAATTAAATTCTTGGCAACTTCAATCTTTTCTCCATTTACCATGATGTTGCTTATTGGTCCAGTCATAAGGATTTTTTTTCAGGGTATTAAAAAGCTCATTGCCACTGAGTCAGAACTGACTCAGCTGACCCTCTGCTGGGTTTCTGAGGCCATAAATCACATGAGAGGAAAATGACCTCCCAACTTTCTGCCACAGAGCCAGTAAGGCATGACGCTTGGGTTTGCAGTGCAACTCCCTGTGGACTATGTTACCAGAGCTCTCTTTTCGTCATGTAGATACTGCTTTATTTTATTCTAAAGTTTTTATTTGTTGTTATTTCTCAGACATAGACTCTGGAAGAGGAGATGGTGGAGAGTCAATTTATGGGCCCACATTTGAAGGTTTGTATCCTTACATTTTATCAGTAATATATTAGTCAATCATTCAGATTTAACAAACCAGTTCTGATACTGGCGTAACACACCTACTAAAAGTAGAGTTAAAAATGGGATCAGATTGGAAAGGCACTCTAGTCCAGAACAGCTTGATGCACGCATTTTTTTTATTTGCCTAATTAATAGTCTTTCTTTAGGATACATTTCTGTAATTAGGATTATTCAGTCAAAAGGAATTTATATTTTTAAAACATGTTCCTTCATCACACTCATACTAACATTGGTACTTTCACAATCATCCTATTAAGATTGCTGTTATAGGGATTCTGGGAACGTGATAGCAATAGTGGCATAGTTTTAAAAGTTTTCCATATCCCAATATAAAAACAGGTAAAATTAGAAGATAGAAAATCTAAAATTTAATAGATAGCATTTGAAACAAAGCTACATGACACAACATCTGTCCAAATTCCAAAATGCAATGGGTAAGCAAAAATTACCAACAGACTACTGCTTGGTGTCAGCCCCGATATGGGAGGAAGTAGGCCATCTGATAGGCCTGAGACTAGGAGAACCCCAAAATAGCCAAGAGCAGGTGAGTGCAGTGGACCACCACTAAGATTTGGAGGGCTGGGGCAGCCTAGCACTTGTGAACTCTTGACACTAATTTGATGCACTGGACCCCATCCTGAAGAAACTATTTGGTATACAATCAAAATTATGTAGGACAGGGCCAATAGTTATGAAGGAGAAAATCTAGATAAAAGAAGAATGAAAACAGAGCTAGGAAATCTCAGGAAGCAAGCTACCATATTTTTGAACACTATATGGCAACACTTTTTGTACATAGGGTTTTCGGAGGCCTGCTATTTCAGAAGTGGATGGCCAGTGCTTCTTCCTAGTCTATCTTAATATTTTTTCTATAATTATATTTTATTAATTTTCATAAACATT